AGTGTTGTCCGAGGGCAATGGCTGTGTAGCCATTCCTTAGGGCCGCTGCGTAAATTCGCCCGCGTTTCATCCGCGAACAGAAGCTGCAAACACTTTCACACTGATCGCCCAGTTCAGCGGCCTTGCGAAGTATACCTGAAAAAAACAAAAGGGGTATGAATCGGAGTTCACCAAAGAAGGGATTCGGGGAAAAGGCATGGTTTTGGTACCCCTTTAAGAAAAAAGGGCAGAATGAGCGTTGGGGGGGGGGGGAGGGGGGGGAGGAGGAAGGGAACAAAACGAACTTTCAAATACTTTTATACAATTAGCAACAGACACCGGAAGCTACCAGCTTTTGTCACTTGGGCTTGCAATACGAATGTGTCCTGATGGGAAACAGACAAAGACATCAAATTACTGCAACATAGAGTTTGGGGTACTGACTTTGCTCCTCGTAGAGATAGGGCACACGGAGCTCGGCCATGTAGGCTATCAGCGGTCGTGGGTTGTAGGCGGAGCTACCAGGATCCACGGTGACAGCACCCAGCTCAAAGGAGGGCAGGTCCGGCCGCCGGTTGCAGACTTGCTGATACTCGTGCATGCAGTGCAGTAGGGACAGGCTGTCTTTGCCCCCCGAGAGACACACAAGAATTTTGTCGTTCGGCTGAATCATGTCAAACTTCTTGATGGCCTGCGGGGACAAGAAGAAACGCGTTGCTTGAAGAAGGACAGGGAGAGAGTCTGGCATGAACATAGGTTAACCAGGCAGGCTCTTGGTGAGATTAAGCTAAAAAGACTGTCACGTGAGTAATACCTTTAGCGGTTTGGACACTGCAAGCGAAGAAGTCTATCACCTAGCAGAACAGGACGATGGCAACTTGCATACATGCTATAGGTTTTTCACAAAGGTCGTTTTAGGCCTCAACTTTTCTCGGCGACAAGCCTAAAAGCATTACCAAAACGGCCTTATGAGGAAAAAAACAAGAGGACTCACTCCATCGGTAAGAACTTTAAAGATCTGCCCTATCATGAGGGATTGATAACGATAACTTATAGAAACCACTTTTTGGGCAATGCATAAAGGACACTGAAAAGCTCGGCTATCACTGATAACCCAAAGGGGCCTTGAGATTCAGCGGACTCACGCACAGTAATTTTACGGTTGAAAGCAAACAAAATCATCTTTGTCCTGATTGGCCGTACATCAAATAACGTAAAGATGCGGCATTTTGCCTCCCGATCCCGCGGAACGTGCTGAATAACTTTCCTAATCCTCAAACGTTTAGCTGGCTACAATACTAGATACAAAACAGTAATTCCTGAAAGAAGCTTAGTCCGAGGATTATTTAAAAGGCTTTTTAAGATATTGGTTTGCTTATCCTGCTGTATTTATTCGGTTGTTGGCATGCACACACATCATAAACTTCTACGAATTAAGTTAACTCGTTTGACAAGAATCTTCGCGCTTTTTCGCATCTCCCCTTCTTCTAGAAACAGCCGCTTCTAATGAACGTAATAGTATTTTCAATATTTTTCTGTTCGGATTTAACTGGAGCTCGTACACTATAAATTCGTTCGCTGTATTTCGATCGATGTCCAAATTATTAAAACTTTTTCGACAGTTCATGCAAATTTCAGGTGTGGGGCCACCCATCAAACGATCGAGAGAGAGGAGATGACTGCCGATGGAGTGCGGTAACTGACTGTCGCTGATGGATTTTTTAAATATAGTCGTTTGTGGTTCCCTAGTCGCAAACTCGTGCACAGGGTATCAGGAAAGGAAAATTGCTTGTTCGTTTTCGCCTTGAACGTTAATGGGATTTTCAGATCGGTCGCATTCAGTAATTTCCTGAGGTGTACCATGTCATCTGCATTAATAACGAAAAAAGTGAAGTCGACATAACCAGCTCAAAACTTTGTAAGGCCTGGTGAGCACCAATCTCTCTATCCATTGGAAGACCACTTTAGTAATCGAGCTCGGTAGATGGGGGCCTAGTGGCTTTGATTCGTCTATATACCCGTCCACAAGACGTGAAGTAGGTTTTAAGCCAATGCAAAGGAAGCTCAGGGAGGTGTTGGCTTAAACACTAAGAAATATTAAATACAACCAGAAAACGGTGAGTGGCCTTGTAGA